CAATTACATGACAACTGCATTTTGGGTGCTTGTTTCAAGTTTCAAAGTGCACGTTTTTGAACACGATCTACTTGTAAACAACAAAAACGTGAATCTCTGAAGACGATGACGTCATGCACATGCGTATTACGTGTTCAGTCTATAGTGTTTCATCGTCGTCTGATATATCTAATACAGCGTTTTTTTGTCGTTTTCTTGGATCCGTGTGAATTGGGATCGTTGTGTTGCCTATACGTGGAAAACTCAAAGGAAAAGCTTCTCAGTTTTAAGGATATCGTTGTCGTGTAAACGTACCCCTAGTTTGAACTTGAGTATATTCTTTCAATGTATATAATTTCTGTAAAAAGCACTGTTTTTATAAGTGTGCTAAAGTACATTAGCCTACTTTCCCCCTCCCTTTGGCCGAACATTACAGGCCCAGACTCTATTACAAACAGGATAAATGTGATATCTGTAGAGTGAGCTGAAAACAGCATTTAATCTTGTTAATACACATCCTGAGCAAAAGGCTGCAGAAATTATAGGCCATTAACATTGATAAGCAACTCTGCCAATGGTCATCCTGCAATGATTTCATCCAACCTTTATAGATCAGGAGAGTAGCAGACATTGATCAACCCCAAATTGGATTTTAAATGGGGTTTCAGAGAATCGAGGAAATGGGAACAAAGGGACGGGATGAATGGCTAGTTGTTTGATCAGTGGTTTCACTGAACCGGTGCGGATAAAAACCCCTCAGGGATCATTAGACCAGCTTAAAAAAAAACATACTGACCACCTTAATGACCCTGTTTTTCCGTCTGGATAATCAAATTCATAAAGTAAACTTCACAAATGGCCTAATTAATTTCAATAATTTCATCGTCTGTTTTTCTGAATGAACGAGTTAAATATCTCAGAATTACGAGATAATTTTTCATGGAAAAAATAGTTTGCTCTGTTTTTCTGAATTTACAAGATAATTATCTCACAATTACAAGAAAATTCATGGGAAAAAGTTTTTGCTCTGTTTTTTCCTGAATTTACAAGCTAATTATCTCAGAATTACGAGATAATTTTTCATGGGAAAAAAGTTTTTGCTCTGTTTTTCTGAATGAACGAGTTAATTATCTCAGAATTACGAGATCATTTTTCATGAAAAAAAAAACGTTTTTGCTCTGTTTTACTAAATTAATGAGTTAATTATCTCAGAATTATGAGATCATTTTTCATGGAAAAAATAGTTTGCTCTGTTTTTCTGAATTAACAAGTTAATTATCTTAGAATTACGAGATAATTTTTCATGGGAAAAAAGTTTTTGCTCTGTTTTTCTGAATGAACGAGTTAATTATCTCAGAATTACGAGATAATTTTTCATGAAAAAAAAAAACGTTTTTGCTCTGCTTTACTAAATTAATGAGTTAATTATCTCAGAATTATGAGATCATTTTTCATGGAAAAAATAGTTTGCTCTGTTTTTCTGAATTAACAAGATAATTATCTCAGAATTACAAGAAAATTCATGGGAAAAAGTTTTTGCTCTGTTTTTTTCTGAATTTACAAGCTAATTATCTCAGAATTGCGAGATAATTTTTCATGGAAAAAAATTTTTTGCTCTGTTTTTCTGAATGAACAAGTTAATTATCTCAGAATTACGAGATAATTTTCATGAAAAAAAAAACAAAAACGTTTTTGCTCTGTTTTACTGAATTAACGAGTTAATTATCTCAGGATTATGAGATAATTTTTCATGGGAAAAAGTTTTTTTGCTCTGTTTTTCTGAATGAACGAGTTAATTATCTCAGAATTACGAGATCATTTTTCATGAAAAAAAACCAAAAACGTTTTAGCTCTGTTTTACTGAATTAACGAGTTAATTATCTCAGGATTATGAGACAATTTTTCATGGAAAATGTTTTTTGCTCTGTTTTTCTGAATTAACGAGTTAATTATCTCAGAATTTCAAGATCATTTTTCATGGAAAAAAAGGTTTTTCTCTATTTCTCTGAATTAACGAGTTAATTATCTCAGAATTACGAGATACTTTTTCATGGGAAAAAAGTTTTTGCTCTGTTTTTCTGAATTAACGAGTTACTTATCTCAGAATTACGAGATCATTTTTCATGGAAAAAAGTTTTTGCTCTGTTTCTTCTGAATTAACGAGTTAATTATCTAAAAAAATAACTCAGAAAAAAGTAAAAATTAACAATTAATGAATTCATAAAAACAGAGTGAAATTTTTTTTTCAAGAAAAATAGATCTCGTTATTCTGAGATAATTAACTCGTTAATTCAGAAGAAACAGAGCAAAAACTTTTTTCCATGAAAATTTCCCATTGAATTTCCCATTCCCATTGAAAATTATCTCGTAATTCTGAGATAATTAACTCGTTAATTCAGAAAAGTTGATTTTTCTTCAAGTGAATGTAATACGCTTTCATAAAATAGACCTTTTTACATCATAAAATATTCATCCACACACACTCTGAGTTCTTCTGTACTATACTATAGAAATATTTGGAGATGCATATTGCACAGTATGATCAAAGGGAGCGTGAGCATGTTTTGTACCGCGTTTAAATTACATCTTAAGGTTTGGAGGATTGATGTCACACTTCATACGGACCCCAATATGAGGCAATCAACAGTAACTCTCACTGTACTCTTTCATCTCTCTGCTCTCCTGTTCTGCCTCTCTGACTCCACCGTTTACTGTGCTTAATCCCCGGAGCGCAGAGCGTACTCATAAACCCACATAGACGTCAGGGACGAGCTTGAACGCCTCGTCTGATAATACAAACTTTCTTATAAATATTCCCAATTACTGGCGGACAGTTCAAACCCTTCATTCAGGCACTTTTTAATTGTCATATTTTTCAGTTAAAATAACCTCTGGTTCCACAAGCAACACGTTTGATTAATGAAGTCATCGTGTGAAGACGGTAACTCTGGGGATACTTGCATTCAAGCCAATGTATGTGGTAATTATTGTTATGACAAACTCACTGGAAGGCAATTATTAGTGGTGTTTACTAAGGAAAGCAACACCATTAAAACGGCTCATTCTAACGCTTAGGGATTTGAGCAAACCATCACTTTGTTCGTATTCTGCAATTTTTGTGTTTAGAAAAGAATGATTCCTCAAATTTCTTCTTTGAAATCTGGACAAAAAAACAGGTGAAAAAATACCAGTTGCATTGAAGGAGGAACTTCTTCCTTTTCTCTTTTGATTTGCAAAGCATGGAAAGCGCAACTTACAAGTACAAATATAGTTCATAATCAACTTTTGAGAAGTTTACATGGAGAAACTGTTACAAAGAGTCTTTCCACACCTTTTGGCCAATGAAATTCCTTGATTTTTCTTTGACTTTCCCACACACTTAGAAGAAAAGGTTCTTTCAGCGCTACGTATTTGGAACCCCTAAAAGGTTCTATACACTCTTAAAAAAAGGGTTCCTCTGGGTTCTATATAGAGCCCTGGGGTTCCGTACTTGGCCAATAGAACCTTTTACCAAAAAAAAAAAAGGTTCTATATGGAACCATTTTGGAGTTCCATATATGAAGCGGGGGATGGAACCATTTCTGGTTCTAAATAGAACCATTTCCTCTAAGAGTGCAGTCGTTCGCATTGATTTTTATAAATTTGAATAACGGGTTAGTTCACCAAGACATTAAAATTCTGTCATCATCCACTGACCCTCATGTCGTTTCAAACACAAGTCAAGTGAGATTTCTGTCCCTCCATTGAAGTCCATGTAACCAAAACGTATGTTTATTGGTTCTCAGGTGTTTAATGCGCTCTCTGTACCGTATGTGTTTATCAACTAAATCTGTTTATCATACAAAGCGATCATGCCGTCGTTCAGAAGATTTGGATTAAATTTATTCATGTGGATTATGTTTTATATGTTTGAAAATATGTTTCGAAGATCTTTTGGGTTTGGAACGACAGTAACCAAATAAAAAAGTAATTAGTTATAGTTACTAGTTACTTCTCACAAATAGTAACTGAGTTAGTAACCCAATTCATTATAAAAGTAACTAATTACCAGGGAAAGTAACTATTGCGTTACTTAAAAAAATAACTTGGATGCAGCCAATATTAAATATGGTAAATTAATGAAATGGACACTATAGAATAAATTATTATTATAAAAATCGTAATGTTGCTGTGGGGCAATGTGAGAGACACCAATAAAATTCAATAAATTATTTTAAATATTATCATTACTATAGCAGACCACAATTCATCGTCTGGTGTCGTTTAAAGCCCTTTGAACAGTTTGGACCTTGAACCGTTTGGTTCCCATTGAAGTCTATTATATGGAGAAAAATCCTGGAATGTTTTCATCAAAAACCTTAATTTCTTTTCGACTGAAGAAAGAAAGACGTAGACATCTTGGATGACATGGGGGTGTGTAAATTATCAGCAAAAGTTTTTTTTTTTAAAAGTGAACTACTCCTTTAAGCGCCCACATTCACTTGAAGCATATAAAACAACTGATTTTTAGTGATTCATTTTTTAATAATTTAGACGAAATTGTGGAAAATATGAACATTACATTCCAGGCCTGGAAAACTCCCTTATATTTCCAGGGTTATCATGGTTGTGAAAAACCAATGGTACTTCATTTCCTTTGGATACCCCTCAGCCAATGAGAATGAAGCTTAGGTCTAATCTGTGAACAATGTTTCTCAGGAGAGAGGTGTGAGAAAGATATTGTGTTTGTGTGTGTGTGTGTGTAGACGGTTGCAGTCTTGACTGGCATTTCCACCTCTCAGGCGGGCGCCGTCACTCTAATTATTTCCTCGGGCATCTGGGACGGGACGGGGCTGAATGCCAGCAGAACAGCAGACGCACACGGAAGCGATCCCTAAAAGTGGACACTGCTGCCACAGCGGGACTCAGAGCTCATGTTCGTCACGCCGAGGAATCAATGACCTGTTAGTGGAGGTCGCGCAGAGCTATGGATCTATTAATAGCAGTGTCTCCATCCACCCCGGACTGATTCAAACCCCTACCTGTCCTCGATGAGCTGGTCTCTGTGCATCCACGTGACGGAGGCTGTGGGATATCCCGTCACCACACACGGGAGCAGCACGCTCTCCCCCACCACTTTAATCACCGGTTGAGGCTCCAGGAGAAACTCCAGGGTCCTCTCCTCTCCGGATTCTGCAAAACACAGAGAAGTGAACGTAGTCAGTGTCTGTCCATCACTAATAATACAATATATATATATATCGACTTATACTGATTAATTGGAAGCTACCATCTCCTCTGACCAACTGTGAGTGGGTTTTTGACCTACTTTTTGCCCTAAAACTTGCCCTAAAGTTTGGAGTTAGAATGAAACCTGATCTTTTCTTGAAATCTTGGAGGCCATTTTTAGATCATTTTAAAAAAGTAGTTCACTTTAAAAAAAAACTTTTTCTGATAATTTACTCACCCCCGTGTCATCCAAGATGTCCACATTTTTCTTTCTTCAGTCGAAAAGAAATGAAGGTTTTTGATGAAAACATTCCAGGATTTTTCTCCATATAATGGACTTCAATGGGGTCCAAACGGTTCAAGGTCCAAAAGACAGTTTCAGTGCAAACCGTTCAAAGGGCTTTAAACGATTTCAGACGATGAATAAGGGTCTTATCAAGCGAAACGATCGGTCATTAAAAAAATAAATAAAAAACTTTAAGTTTTATAAGCTCAAATGCTCGCCTTGCTCTGTTCTGTGATGTGCGTTCGTGACTCTCCTGTTCGAACTTGTTCATCATTCAACGAACGAAATGACTCGAAAAAAGATTCGTTCATTTTGATGAACGAGTTCGAATAGGAGAGTCACGACACAAGCAAGGCGAGCCTTTAAACAGTTTGCACTGAAACTCTTATTTGGACCTTGAACCGTTTGGTTCCCAATGAAGTCCATTATATGGAGAAAATCCTGGAATGTTTTTATCAAAAACCTTAATTTCTTTTCGACTGAAGAAAGAAAGACGTGGACATCTTGGATGACATGGGGGTGAGTAAATTATCGGCAAAAGTTTTTTTTAAAAGAGAACTACTCCTTTAAGGAGACTAGCTCTGGATAACTTAAGGTTTATTTAGTTGTTTATATGCATATGCATATGTTACTGTGATTTTATGTTAACTATGCTGGATTAATTTGTGATTTTTTTTGTGAATCATGTAATAATCTGATAGTTGTCCTGTGCTTGAGATGCTTTTCTTAATATAACATAAAATAAATAAATAAATAATAAAATAAATAAAAAGTATTGCATTACTTGTTACTTTTAAATCCCATATCAACCTCGACCAGCTAACCAATACAAGGATAAACATTTTAATTATATCAAATAATTGACATAAAATTGCATTAAATATTCTTCTCTCTATTTATTGGGAGAAGGTTGCATTAAAAACATACATTTTAACATTTTTAAGATGACGTTTGATTTGTTGTTAAATCCACTAGTTTTATATGTAATTGTTTTATAGTCTAATACAGTATTTATTTAATGCAATTACATCAGAATAACTGTAATTAAAGTACAGAAGAATTAAGAGTAATCCCTTACTTTACTTTACTCAAAGGAAAAGTAATTAAATTACAGCAATTAATTACTTAGTAATGCATTTATACCTAACACTGCTAACTATTTTTTTTTTTTTATGGAATTGTGCAGTATTTATTTACCATGAATAATTTTTCTGTGCACATCATTATTTTAATTATGTGCCTCGTGATCTGGACTCAAAATAACTTCCACTCCCTCTCGTAACGAGATCTCTTCTCTGAGGACGAGGGCGGGGCAACCTGTCACTCACATGAGATGGACCAATTACATTTGTTTGTTCTTGTTCAAGAAGCTGTTTCACTCGGATATATGTCACAGTAGAAAAGACAATCGCAACTTCTTTACATTTATGTTTCATTTCTTATTTAAAGTGATAGTACACCAAAAAAAAAAATTCTGTTATTTTATTGATTCGCCCTCAAATCATTCCAAACTTGCACGACTTATTTCTGTCGAACAACACAAAATAAGATACGTTGAGAAATGTCTCAGCGTCCATAGAATGGAAGTCAATGGGGTCCAATGTTGTTTGGTTTCCCAACGTGTGGTTCCACAGACGAAAGAAAGTCATAGAGGTTTGCAACCACATGAAGACAGAATTTTCATTTTAAGTGGACTGTCTCTTTAAGTATGAATGTAACAAGTGAGTGATTATATATCAGAAAAACACAAACTCATGCTATTGGTTGAGCCAGAAGTTTATATTTCATGACCCTCAAACAAACAGCAATTTTTAAAAAAAGTGCCTCTCCTTGGGGATGCTCTGACTTGCTTTTATTATTATTTTTTTTTTAACATTTACTGTATAGACTGTACACACTTAACCTTTTAGGCTTAAGCTCTTCAATTTTTCTCTTTAATACTCATTGTTTATTTATCTCCACGAGGGAAACAGAAATCATTTCCTTTCTCTCTTTACATATCACTGCTCATGTTTGGTGTGATACCCTCAGCGGGCGACGGGCTTCAGGCCTGCTTTGCGTTCTGCCTGGAAAAATAAATCTGCCTGCTGAGTATCTGCTACAAAGCAGCTCCGTTCTCTTTAACTTCAGCATAAATTACACTGTTCTCTCTGATAACACCACATGTGGCCGTCCTGCTCTAGGAGGCTTCCTTTAAAACTCTCTCTCTCTCTCTCTCTCTCTCTCTCTGCAACTGTGTGAGTTTCAGTAGGGTGTGAAAATCACATCAGAATCAACGTCTTGCATTTTTATTGTTAGGAATGAAGAGAAATCGGCCTTTCCTCTTAAGAGCTTGTATTTTTTTAAGGAGGAAAAAACTTTTTTGGACAAACCCAACTGAATTTATGTTTGTCATGGATTAAAAACTTTTTAAACATTTTAAAGACACAGTATTGTTACATTTCATGTAGTGTGTGATAGTGCTGTTTGCGAAAGTAAAAGGTTGGCAAAGTTTAAAAGATCATTGATCAACAATGCATGCATTTCCAAAGGATAAGGATTAAGACTCAGGCTTAAACTGATTAAAACTCATTAAACTCATCTGATCATCGTTACTGTTTTTATTACTGTGTATGAACACAGTAATACAAACGGTAATGGTGATGCCGTTTTACCAACCAGATCTCACGGCAATTCGTACCAATTTTACGAGGTGGCTAATTCATAACAATTCGTAAAATCTCACTCGTGCGAATTAGTAAGATTTTTGCTAAATCGTACATATTTTACAAGTTGCCCAATTCGTATGAATTCGTACGAATGATATACCCCTGACCCCGCCCCTAAACCTACCCATCACGTGGGTTTAGACAAATCATACAAATTCGTACAAGTGAGGATGTACGAATTCGTACGAATTAGCCACCTTTTAATCACTCGTACAAATCGGTCGTGAGATAGCGTCTCAATTTGAGCCGGAGTTATAATCCTCATCCTTTGGAAGTGCATGCAAAGTGGATCTACGATCTTTAAAACTTTGCCGACCTTTTACATTTACAAACATTGCATTTAGAGCAGAGTAGACCAATCACAAAAGACTGGCCAATCTGACCAATCAGAGCAGAGTATGCTCTTGGAAAGGCGGGGTTTAGAGAGGCTAAATCCTTTGTCAAGCCTTTTCAGACACTGTGGAAAAAGAGCTGATGCTGCAATATATATCAACCCGATCTCAAGGCAATTCGTACGAATTTTACGAGGTGGCTAATTCATAACAATTCGTAAGATCTCACTCGTGCGAATTGGTAAGATTTTTGCTAAATCGTACATATTTTACGAGTTGCCCAATTCGTATGAATTTGTACGAATCACATTCCCCTGACCCCGCCCCTAAACCTACCCATCACGTGGGTTTAGACAGATCGTACAAATTCATATGAGTGAGGACGTACGAATTTGTAAGAATTAGCCATCTTTTAATTAGTCATACAAATTGGTCGTGAGATAGCGTCTCAATTTGAGCCGGAGTTATAATCCTCATCCTTTGGAAGTGCATGCAAAGTGGATCTACGATCTTTAAAACTTTGCCGACCTTTTACATTTACAAACATCCAATTTAGAGCAGCGTAGACCAATCACAAAAGACTGGGCAATCTGACCAATCAGAGCAGAGTATGCTCTCGGAAAGGCGGGGTTTAGGGAGACTGAATCCTCCTTTTCAGACACTGTGGAAAAAGAGCTGATGCTGCAATATATATCAACCCGATCTCACGGCAATTCGTACGAATTTTACGAGGTGGCTAATTCATAACAATTCGTAAAATCTCACTTGTGCGAATTAGTAAGATTTTTGCTAAATCGTACATATTTTACGAGTTGCCCAATTCGTACGAATGACATACCCCTGACCCGCCCCTAAACCAACCCATAATGTGGGTTTAGACAAATCATACAAATTCGTACGAGTGAGGACGTACGAATTCGTACGAATTAGCCACCTTTTAATTACTTGTCCAAATTGGTCGTGAGATAGCATTGGTTTTACTGTTTCAATTTGAGCCAGAGTCATAATCCTCATCCTTTAGAAGTGCATGCAAAGTGGATCTACGATCTTTAAAACTTTGCCGACCTTTTACATTTACGAACATCTCATTTAGAGCAGACCAATCACAAAAGACTGGGCAATCTGACCAATCAGAGCAGAGTATGCTCTCGGAAAGGCGGGGTTTAGAGAGGCTGAATCCTTTGTCATGCCTTTTCAGACACTGTGGAAAAAGAGCTGATGCTGAAGTGCATGCAAAGTGGATCTACGATCTTTAAAACTTTGCCGACTTTTTACATTTACAAACATCCAATTTAGAGCAGCGTAGACCAATCACAAAAGACTGGGCAATCTGACCAATCAGAGCAGAGTATGCTCTCGGAAAGGCGGGGTTTAGGGAGACTGAATCCTCCTTTTCAGACACTGTGGTAAAAGAGCTGATGCTGCAATATATATAGAAAATGAAAGAGTATTTTGATCTAGGATGCATGAAAACTTATTGTATGAGACCTCAAAACAAAATTAGGAACCTTTAAAACAGCATAAATTATGGGGTACACCCAGGATGCTCCTCATGAAGTTGATGTAAGCGATGATGTAGAATAAATGTGGCGACTATGAACAAGCTCAAAAATATGATGCATAACTTAAAAGATGCATATTTAATCGAATCTCATAACATATTATCTTTACAGAAATGTACTTCTACTTATCAATCGAAATGAATCAAAAATGTAAAAATAAAATGAATTGTCCGTGATGATATATGAGAAGAAGTGATTGTAAATGTGATAGGTACCCGGCAGAACGTGTAAGTGCGCCTCTTCGCTGGTCTTGATGGGTCCGGCATTCTCGATCACGCATCGGTACGGGCCCGTGTCGGCCTCGCTGGAGTTACTGATGACCAGAGCTCCACTGGCCAGCACAAACACTCTCTGATCCAGCTCCAGCGGCTGCTTGTTCACTTCCCAGCGGATGAAGGACACCAGGTCAGGGTTGACCTCGCAGTTCATCACGTGACTGTCCCCGACCCGCACCGACGCCGCTTCCGGCTGACTGAGGAACCGCGGTATTCCTGAACACAGAGAGGAAGACATTAGAATCATTACAGTCCATTATAGATATACACCGATTTCTCCACTAGAGCCCGACCGATAAAGGATTTTGAAGGCCGATACCGATACAAATATTTTTGGGTTTTAAAATCCGATATTCCGATATATCGGCCGATATTTTTTTTTATTAAATATTGTTGGATTTCACACACGTGTAAAAGAAAAGCTAACTTTTCTGCACAAGATACGTTTGATACTTTTTCTCTATGTCTAAATGTTCAGTCCTCGCAAGTCTAACTTACATTTTACAATGCAGGGACTGTAACTAGAGATATGCTAGTTATAAATACAGTAATCATTACTTTATTTATGCCGAAAAAGTTCATTGTGGTTTCCAAGCTCATTAATGTTAACGTTAGCGGTCTTCCACTGATGATAGTGGCGTTAGCTAGTCTATGATGAGCCATAAATTAGCAATAGATAACATCATACTGCAAATTGTAAAACATACATTTTCAATATAACAGGCCAAGGAGAGATGATTGAAGCGTGTTTCGTCCATTTTTATTTTATTTTTTAAATATTCATTTATCTGCCATTATAACTGCCGATACCGTTATATTGGAAAATGCCTAATATCGGCCGATAATATCGGTCTGGCTCTATTCTCCACTGATTATTCAGAATGACCACCAATACTGAACGTTTTGATCTAGTTGGTTCTCGTATTGTCAGCATCTTCAGCGTCACATCCTTCAGAAATCATTCTAATGATGTTGATTTGCTGCTTTATCAACTTTTTGTGAATCCATTTGTGAGGCTTAAAGCAGCACTATGCAGTTTTTTCCCCTTAACTGAATAGCATCGGAGTTATTGCAATGGTTTTATGACTATTTTCGGGTTGAAACTGTGATTCCTTCCCCCCCCCCAGGATTCTTTGATAAATAAAACAGCATTTACTTGAAATAGAAATGTTTCTGTAACAATTTAAAAGTCTTTACTGTCGCTTTTGATCAAATTAATGCATCCTTGCTGAATAAAAGTATGATTTTTTGTAAGTAGCCGAGATATGAAAACGAAAATTTATTTCACATCTAATGCCAACATGCTCCTTTTTTCACAGCCGTCATCTCATGCTGGGCAAAGTGAATGAAATATCTCTGAGATATCAAATAACTCATGGAAAGCGAATGGAAAAACCCTGGAGAAGTCATGGACTGAACAGGACACTTCTGATCAAAACACTCCAGGAGGGCTGGGTTTTATTTTACTTGATTCTTTAAAGCAAAACTAAAGAAGATTTTTTAGCTTAAAATCATGTTTCCAAAAGCATTTCAGTGGTTCATCAAGTCGTAACTTATGCCTTCCTATATCTGCTATAACCACACTATTGCCAGATCGGGTCGCGTTTCTGTAGTTCGAATGAGACATAAGAAAACTACAAATTTGACTTGCTTTACATCAAGCGTTAGAATAGATATAGCCTAGTCAGAATTGATTGATATAAAGTGGCAATTGCGTGTTGTAAAGTCAGAATTGTGAGATATAAACTATTTTGAGACTAAGTTTATTATAAACTTAGAATTGGCCTGATAACTCAATTGCGAGTTTATATCTCATAATTCTGAGAAAAGATGTCAGAATTTCGAGATTTATACTCGCAATAAAGTGTTATAAAGTCAGAATTGTGGGATGTAAACTCACAATTGTGCGATAAAAAGTCTTAGAATTGCGACTTTATATCTTGCAATTGTGACTTTATTTCACAATTATTATTATAATTTTTTTTTATTCAGTGGCGGCAACAATCTCGATTGCATTATTGAGGTGTTCAATTTTGGAAAATTGACATATCGCTCTCTTCAGTACAAGGAAAATACTCAAGTTTAAATCCCATATTCGAAGACTTTTACTCAAGCAGTGCAGTAGGTATTTGTAATGGAGTCATTTTTTATCTCCACTTAAGTATGCTAGGAGTGTACGTGCTGATTTAGCATTAGCATCACCGCTAAAGCTCAAAACACAGGTGAACATAAAGACTCATGTCTTTGTGAGGGACAAGGAGAGAAAAGTGATGTGGATTCCTTTGTCTGGCGTTAGTCGGTTACAGACATGCCATGCTCTCGCTCTCTGTTAATGTGAAAGAGCATGCAGTGAGAGATGCTATCAGCGCTCAACAGAGAACAGCATTCATTCATCTCCACAGGCTCTGCTTTATAACAGCAGACAGAAAGCTTTCACAGAGCACGCTGAGGGCTTTATACCCTTATAAACTATACACAAAACCAGCCTTTTACAGCAGAACAGCTCTTAAACTCTCTTTCTGCCTACACTCTAAAAAATGCTGGGTTGTTTTAACCCAACTTTGGGTCAAATATGGACTAACCCAGCCGTTGGGTTAAATTTTTACATTACATTTTTAACCCAACATTTCGGGTTTGTCCATATTTGACCCAAAATTGGGTTAAAACAACCCAGCATTTTTTAGAGTGTAAGTACTAGCACTGATATGAGCAAATCAAGAAAAGACTAAAATCCAGGCATAGTTAGATACACTTCGTATGGCTACAGTATCAAATATTGATTGACATTATATTTCAGGGACAATGAAAGCAGGTTATTAATGCAAAATAAAATGCAGACCCTGATGTAAATACAAATAAATAAATGCATTATTAAAAAGTAAATAATTATTACATGAGAAGGCAGAGAGTAGTGATTACCAGACATGACATTATGTAGAAAAAAATGCCAAACAACTAAACAGTTTACCAGTTATTATGCCAAAATATATGAGCACAGAACGCCACAACTGACCAATCAGCAAATGCCAATCAAGATTCCTAAACACTGTTCCAGACGGCTTTATGTCACAATTCATTAGTATAATATAAGAGAACAAAATATCAGACAAGACATCGGACAAAACAGTAGGCACATGAATTTTACACATGAATAACACATTTTCTTAAATATATATATGAAGAGTTCATATGCAAAAGCCTCTAAATGCCATTTGAAATTTTCTTCTAAAATGACCATTTTTATCAAGCTTGTATATTTAAGTTCAATAATTTCACTTAAATGACAATTAATAGGTAATCTTCATTGCCATTTAAGTGAAATTACTGAACTTACATATACAAGCTTGATAAAAATGATCATTTTAGAAGAAAATTTCAAATGGCACTTAGAGGCTTTTGCATCTGAACTCTTCATATATATATATACAAAGTATATATATATATATTTAAATTAAAATCAAATTCAATCAAAATATTAAATCTAAATTAATCTTGTAAATTGTAAATGTCAGTCTTTTTTGCCTCAACAATTTTTAATATATTTTACTGTTTTTATTTTTTATATACCTATACTCACGCAGTGCATCTATAATACTACAGGATGATGCCTTAAATGTATCAAAAGTGACGGTAAAGACTATTATACAGTTCCGAAAAACTCTATTTAAAATAAATATTGTTATTTTCAAATTTAAATTCATCAAAAAAATCCTGAAAAAAAAAAAAAAAAAAAAACACTATCAGGGTTTCCAAGAAAATATGAAGCATCTCAACCGTTTTCAACATCGATAGGTTTCTTGAGCAGCAAATCATATTATTATTATGATTTCTGAAGGATCATGTGACACTGAAGACTGGAGTAATGATGCTGAAAACCCAACCGGCATGGGAAACCATGCTGGTTTAAACTGGTCGTTTCAGCAGGGTCCAGTAAAGCAAATATTCCTAGTTTAGAGAACGGTTCAAGCGATGTGTTTTGGTGGCAGTGGAAACCCTCCCTGCTGTTTCACTCTTCCTCAGTTTCGTCCTCTCTCCAGACAGATAGTCCAAGAGCAACATTTGCTGAGTGATTCATTACACTGGTGTAGCTGCTACATGGGAACTAGTGCCGTGCTGTAAGCTTGGACCTCACATACACACATCAATCTCAGTACACAAGAACACGCTATATCTGGAGATGGGGATTGACAGACTCATTACAGTTTATTGGCCAGACTCTTGTGTGATTGCACTGGAGTGGACAGTCCACTCAACGGTCCGATTGTCCCACTGTTTTAATCGATTGGATGACAACAACTTACAGCTAAGGCTACACGTACACTATTCCTGATATATTAGAAAATGAATATCTTTTAGCTAGGGCTGTCAAACGATTAATCGCATCCAAAATAAAAGTTTGTGTTTACATAATATATGTGGGTGCACTGTGTATAATTAATTTATATATATATAAATACACACTTTAAGAAATATTTTCATGTATATACTGCATATAGATTTATACATAATTTCTATTATATATAAATATAAATATTTTACATATAAATAATATTTTTTTTCTTAAATATACATGCATGTGTGTGTATATATATTATATATAATTATACATAATTATAATAATAATTAATTATTATTTACATAATTAATTATTTATAAATAATTATACACAGTGCACCCACATATATTATGTAAACACAAACTTTTATTTTGGATGCGATTAATCGCGAATAATCGTTTGACAGCCCTAGTTTTGGCTATTCGTTCGCATGAGTGTGAAAATGGACGTTTGCGAAAAATGTTAGTCATTTACTGAGAAATATCTATTTTTAACTATATGTGCCTGCTATATGTGCTATTCACTTTCAATATAAATGTTCATATCTTCATATTACATTCTTGCAAAGAGACACAATTTACTCACAATTGCTGATCAGAACATAATAAATTTTATTTTAGATTTCAGATTTATATATAATTTATATTATATATAAATAGAAATATTTTTTTATTGCACCCACATATATTACGTAAACACAAACTTTTATTTTGGATGCGATTAATCGCGATTAATCGTTTCACAGCCCTAATTAAAAAATGTCCTGGCTCTTCCAAACTTTATAATGGCCGTGAATTTCAAAGTCCAAGTCCATAAAAGCGCATCCATCCATGATAAAAGTGCTCGAAACGGCTCTGGCGGGTTATTAAAAGCCTTCTAA